TTTTTGTCCAGAGGTCAATTATGTTAAGGTGTCTTTGTAACATATTAGAAACTGTGTTTGGGTTTTCATTGGAGGCCACAATTGCCGTATCGTCCGCGTAGGAACCGAGTTCAGTAAAGGAAGTTTTAGGGATGTCGTGCGTAAAGATATTGTACAGAAAAGGAGCAATATCGCTGCCTTGGGGAACTCCGGCTAAGATATTGAAATAGTTTGAGTGGCTCGAGTTCTGGCGTACGACGAATGTGCGATCGCTCAAATATGATTTAACCAATAGGAAGTAAGGAGCAGGCAGAATTTTTTTAAGTTTGAATAGTAGGCCATCAAACCATACCCTATCAAACGCTTGTGCGACGTCTAGAAAGACGGCAGCGCAGTAATGTTTTTTCTCTAGAGAAACTGAAATAGTGTCTACTACTCTGTGGAGTTGATGAATGGTAGAGTGATTGGGTCTGAATCCAAATTGAGTGTCGGGGATAATTTTTGCCGAAATAGCTAGTGGTATGAGTCTCTTTAATAGGATTTTTTCGAATACTTTAGATAATGTTGGGAGTAGACTTATAGGGCGATAAGAGGTTACTTTTTCAGGAGGTTTGTGGGGTTTTGGGATCATTATTATCTCTGAGAATTTCCAGGTAAGGGGGAAATAGGATAAACGCAGCATTGCGTTATATATATAGGAAAGTAATATGATTACTTTTTTGGGTAGGTTTTTGGCAATACGATTTGTAATTTGGTCAAACCCAGGGGCTTTTCTGTTATGGAGTTTTTTTATAATGAATTCGATTTCGCCGGGACTTGTGTGTTTGGCTGGTAGTGAGACGGGTAATGCAGACTCTAAGGAATGTGTGACAATTTGGCTTTGAGTGGGATTTAGAGTTATGTCATGTGGGGTAAAGGTTTGGGATAGATGTTGGCCAAATAGGTTTGCTTTTTCTGTGTCAGAAACCACCCATGAGTTATCTTCTTTACGGAGGGGAGAGGAAGTTGAGATAGTTTTTAGGATTTTTTTGGTCGTTTTCCAGAGACAAGAGTTATGAGTTGTTAGGTTTTGGATAAATTGTTGATAGGTGAAGGAGTTGTGATGTTGTAGTGCTTTCCTTAGTTTATTATTTAGTTGGTTGTAGGTGTGTTTGTCGATGGGGTATTTGTGCCTTTGCCACCGGGATCTTGCTTTTCGTTTTTCACGGAGAAGATGTTTTATATGATTTGGAAGTAGGTTATTGGGGTAAATTGTGATTTGAGTTGTTGCTAGGTGAATGCATTCCTGGATATCTGAAGTGAGCTTTTGGATAGTGCTGTCAATGTCTTCGCTTGATTTTAAGGAATGGTTGAGTAGTGTGCGAGTTTCAATGAGTTGTTGGAAGGTAGGCCAATCTATTTTTCCAAGATTTTGAGGATTTGTGGAAGAGTTTGAACAAGGAATTTCGAGGTCGAGTATGATTGGTGAGTGGTCGGATGACAGGTCGTTTGTGTTGGAGATATTAGTAGTGCAGTTACTTGGTATTCTTGCGATGAAGATATCCAGGATATCTGGGCGACGGTTTTGATGTGTTGGCCAATAGGTGGGGTTAGAGGGTGGTAATATTTTTATGTTCGAGTTATTTGTTGAGTTATAAAGGACTCTGCCTCTAGGGTTGGTTGAGTGGCAACCCCAAGAAGAGTGTTTGGCATTAATGTCTCCGGCGACAATGAAGTGCTTACCTAGAGATTCGAAGTAATTTTTGAAATTGTTAGAGTTAATTTTAGGTCCTGGAGGGCAGTAGATGGAGGAGAAAGACAGATTAAAATGTTTGTTGACAGAGACTTGGACACTTGTTGCTTGGAGATATGTTTCACTTATAAAAGGAAGAAGGGAGTGGGATAGATTATTTTTAACTAGGATCACCGATCCAGCGTGGGCAGTGGAGTCAGGGTGATTACTTTGATAAACTTTGTATCCAAGAATTTTAATAGACTTTGTTGGGGTTAGGTGAGATTCGGATATCATTGCTATGTCTATGTTATGAATATTGAGGGATGCCTGCAGTTCAAGTTTATGGGGGGTAATGCCGTTTGCGTTCCATGTGAGCAATCTAAGTTTAAAGTTAGTTTCCATGGTTGGTACTTAATTTATTTATTAGTGAGGTAAGAAGGGTTATTAGGGGATTAAGAAGTGTTATGAGGGGAGAGATTAGAGATTTAAACTCGGATATGAAAGTTGTAAGTTGGCTTGTGAATAGTTGGTCGGAGGGTGGGTCGTTTATGTGGTTTGATTTTAACTTATTTGATTTATTACCTTTAACCGCTTGAGAGAATGATAAGTGCTGGGTGTCGCTGGGTTCATTTAGAGATCTTGTGGGAGCATTGATCAAATGTGGTGCTCCTGGAGGAGGTTGGTTGTTGGATTGTACTTGGCTGTTGGGTTGGACTTGAGGTGTGTCGAAGTTTTCTGTTGTCGGTCTTGAGATGGTGATCGGTTGTTGTTTTTTACGGAAACGTTGGAGGTCTTTGTGGACAGTGCATCCTCTGTAGTTTGCCGGGTGGGCCTTGCTGCAGAGTGCGCATTTTGCAGGTAGGTCCTTGGATTTGGAGCATTGATCCGAGGTATGGTTTTCGCCGCATCGGACGCATTTAGGTTGGTGATTGCAATATGATTTAGTGTGGCCGTACTGTTGACAACGATGGCATTGGACTAGATCTCGTCTGATGTGTGGGGCTTCGAATTTTACTTTAGTGAAACATATATTACTTATCTTGAAGATGTCTTGGTTGTTTGGAGATGGGTTTAGGTCTACAAAGAATAGTGGAAGAGGTTCTTTTGATTGAGATTTTAGGATGTTAGTGACGTTTTTTACCATAAAACCATGTTTTTCAATTTCTTCTTTAATGTAATCAGTAGGGATTGTATGGTGCAGATTTCTAATAACGACTCTGTAAGATTTTTCTTCGTGTGTCTGGTACGTGTGGTATTCAAGTTTGTTCTCGTTGAACAATGTTATAGCGGCACGGTAAGAACTGGCTGAGTGTAGGTTTATCTTTATATTTTTTGAGTTGGACTTGCAAAGGAAGCCCTCGGTTTTCGTTATTTTTTCCAGGTTTTTACATAGAGTAATGAAATTAATCGGAGATGTTAAGAAAATTGGTGGAGGAGGAGGTGGTGATGGAGGTGATTCGTTGACTTCTGTGTTAGAATCCAGATCCATATTAACTTCGTCGATGTCGAGTAGAGAATAGCGATTTGGTGATGAGAAATTTGACGGCTCGTTTGTTTTTTTTGAGCGAGGTGACGTAGTGTTATTAGGTGACCTAATGCGTTTGTTGTTGTCGGCAGCAATCCATTCTTGGTCGTTATCTGAGGTGGCAGACGGAGAAGTTGCGTCCTGCGTCTTGTGAGAAATAGTTTTTGTGATAATTACCGGAGATAATTTCGGTTTGTTTTTAAGTTTATTAGTGTCTGAGTTGTTTCGTTGCATGATGCAGTAATTAATAAGTTGCAGGTAACGGCCTACGGCCGATTTAACGGCGGTGGTTTCGGATTAGGTTGTGTTTTTGTTTTAGCGTGTGGAAATATACGGAAAACGATGATAATTATACTGAATGATACGGTTCGATTTAGTGGTCATTAATTTTAATTTTAATGAAGCGATAAGCGAAAGGCGATAGTGTACGTGCACGACGGTCAACAGACGTGTGCTACGGACGACTTGCCGTGCGGAACTGAATCATAGATTTAAAAAGCATAAAATCGTCGTTTATGAGATATTAGTTCTCGTGATTCGGGGAGGTGGATTAGCCCTGTCAATAAACACGTGCCAAATAAATCCATGTAGGTACCTAATACATAATATTATTATCAAATTATATATTCTGGTAAGGCAGGCGTAAAACAATATCGAACTCACGCCTATTTGTACGGGTGCGACACTTTTGTTCTTGGACTCTCCACCCTCCTTATTCGGTAACATGTTTCGGGGACCCTAACGATTATCATAGTCGGCAAGCATAATCAAAACGTTGCGGTGGAGGTTCGATGACACTTTTAAGTCGTATGGACCTGGTGCCGAGATAATGCAATGCAATTACTCGAATAATATTGGCGCCAGAGCTGTGTTAAGGGGGGGGGCAAAGGGGGCAATTTCCCCCGGGCGCCATAGTTTTGTAAAAGTAAGGGGGTGCTTTTATTTGCTCTTAATATGCTACCTGTAGCCCAAATTATAGGGAAGGGGCTCGCGCTGAATTGCTTGACACGGCTCTGATTGGCGCACTGACTATAACTAGAATTTGGTTAGGATTTAACTGTTCAAAGCACCTACGTGGTACAATACAGGAAGTCAGATATACAGTGACGTTTTGATAGGTATACTATAGATCTAATATTAATAATTATTACTTAAAAAAGTTGATCAAAATATATTATATTGTTATGTAACGTTCTATTATATAATATATTGTCCTGTGTGAAGGGGGGGAGTTATATGTCAAAACATCGCGTTCTGTGGTATGCGATGAAAATTATTTATAATATGTAATACAGTAATATAATATATACCTATATATAGTTTGTGATCATATATGTTTTTCAACCACTGCAAACTGAAAAAAGTCCGATGCCTAAAAATAATAATTGCTTTATTTAATATGATTTTTATGATAGTACGATATAATACCTTTATATTTTGAACCAACTTATTTTATAATTAAGTTTCGGGGAGAGGAAATCTATGGATAGTATTTTATAATCATACACATACGTCTTTACCAAGAATAAATTGTTTGACTGAAAGATGATTTGGAGGGCTATAGTACACCCATTTTGGGGGAGAGATAATACCTAGCTCTTCTAAGTCCTGCACGGGGACTGCAGATCCACCATTTCGTTTCCGACAGTGCAGGTATCTTGGGTAATATTGTAAATCACAAACACATGTTTGTACCTATTCGCATTTACCATAACACATTTTGCAATGTTTATTGATGTATTGTTAGATATTTTACGAGTTTGTTTTTTTTTTTACTTTCAGTTTTTCGGAAAATGCGAAACGGGTGTCGTCCCTGTACCGAGATCGTCCCATGACGCCCTCCGAATCCGTCGTCTACTGGGTCGAGTATTTAATTCGACACGGTACGGAAGCCGACATCAGGCCCTCGTCGGCCGACGCGTCTTGGACCAGCCATTTTATGTTGGACATGTGCGCCGCAATGGTGACGGCTTTACTGACAATATGGTTCGTCGCGCGCGCCGTCCTGCACGTGGCGCTCGACAAATCCATTCCGTCCGATGTGAAATGACGCACAACCGTGCGAATTCGTGTGCACAATGGCGTGGGGGGGGTAAGGGGGGTAGTCGAGTGATAGGTGCCTCTGAGTTTTTAGGGGTTGTGGATGAGTGGGTGGGTGTTATAATTTAGTACTACATAACCATTATATATTGAATAGTAGTATACTTACTACGACAGCAAATTAAAAATATGACAGTTAATGCCTTTATCGAGTATTGACTGGGTGGATACGGATGACTATAACCTCTAAAAAAATATCTAATTCGAGGAGTTCCCCACGCCATTGCGTGCCTGAGACACTATAGCTTCGTATGTTACGTAATACGTATGACTATATAGTACGAATATACGATCGATGTGTTATCAAAATTCAAAATAAAAATCACAATACATATTACGAATGTATACTAAATAATTCCATGCCAATAAAGACTTATAGTACCTACCTACGTCTAAATGTCTAATATTTTCGGACGTGGCCAATAGTTATTGTTATAACGGTTGCGTGTTATAAAATATATTGGTAATAAGTAATAACCTATAGGTTAATACTTAGAGATAAAAATGTATCACATTATAATAATACAGAATAACACTAATGATATGCAGCATGACTGTATTCATTTTTAAATTAACTATGCAAATTTTTGTATTTAAAAATATATCGATTACCTATACAAGTAAATTATTTTGGACCTAACGATAATTTACTACAATTATCAAACAAACACTAATCAGTCAATTTATCAGTCATATTAAAAAATACAGCATGCACATCTACATAGGTAGTTTAAAAAAATTTCAAATTTATTTTGTATAGTTAAGGATTTAATAATTAAAATTTAAAATTATTTTAATAGTATATTGTTTAAAAATATTTATTTTATTCGCTAATTATATGTAATTGTTACTGACATAGGTACTCGTATATTTTAATTTTTTGTTTGAGTACTGATGGCTGACAAGTGCGGGAGGTCTTCACCAATAATACATTTATTTTATTTATTAAAGAAGCCTTAATACCTGTCTTTAAACATTAAAACAGTTAAACAAAGCTGATAAATAACATTATATAGGGATCCCATTCAGTTGTATGTCTAATAAAATATGATATTATGATATATTACATTAATAAGATAAAAATGAATTAAAATCTGATATAATAAATAAAATTATATGATAAGTAAATAATTTAAGAATTAATATACTCATGTCAGAAAATTCTCAAAAAAAATATTTTGAAAAAAGTTATTATAATAACTTGCGTATACGTTCAGAATTCATTTCACCAAAAAAATTTTGATATTTCGAAAATTCTCAAAAATAAACTACTTGACTTTTTTACTATCAAAATTGTTCTTATAATCAGATTCACAAATTACCTATTTTTAAAATATATGTTGTGTGTTTTATACGACACACCCTCATATTCACCAAGTCATCGCAGTACAATTAGAGGAGATATTGACCAATTACAATACATAAAATGCTTAGGTTTAAAATACCAGGCCAATAGATTACTATAAAATGTATTAAAAATTAAAATGGTATGCAAACCAATATATTATAAGCCAACTTAAAAATATTATAATATTACCTATATGACGCGTTATTGTAATAATTATTTTTTTACTCTAGATCACTATAATAATAATATAACTATCTATAGGTACCAATATGACAATATATGAATAATTTTTTACATTATTATAATATTACCTATGTGACGTGTTGTTTTAATTATTATTTTTTTACTTTATATCACTATAATAATAATATAATTATTATAATAGGGTATTATAAGGTTAGTATTATACCTTTAGTTGAATAAGCCCTCTCCTAAACGGTATACATCTATTCGCCCAACCAGACTATAATTTGGGTCGATTTGCCCAAACGGTCTATTTCAAAATATTTTCAAAATTGTATGGTGTATAGGAAATGCTCATTTAAATATTCAGTGAAGTTTTCATGTATCTACAGTTATTCGTTTTTGAATTACAACAAAACTAAAGAAATCGAGTGAATATCCTATGTTGTAAAAATTTGAATTTCAAACGCTCATAAAAATTTAATTTGACTTTTTTCTTGACATTTTTTTTTTTATAAAGGTAGATAATCTTATAAGGAATCTTGTATTACATTTTAAAATCTTAGATTTAAAAAGAAAAAGTTATATGAATTCTTACTCAATATAATTTGCTAATTTTCGTGATTTTTCCATATTTTGTCAACTTTTGAACTTTAAATGCTTGTAAAAGAAAACTGAAACTAACGATTTTTAATATTTTTCATCTGCCTTTGAAAAAATATACGAGGAGCCTTCTATTAAATTGTCAAGCTTTCGGAACCAACTCATAAAATTATTATTGATATTTTTAGAAAAAAAACTTAAAAAAATTGGAAAATGAAAATGTCCCTAAACAGTTCAAACTAATCAAAATATTTTGAAAATGTTATCGTGTATAGAAAGTGCAAATATAAACAACCAGTGAAAATGTCATGTATCTACGGTCATTTGTTTTAAAGTTACACCAAAAACCAAATTCAATTATGTGAAAAATCAATTTCGCGTAAAAATATCTGTTTTTCCTTAATTTATCTTTTGTTTTTCTTGGCGCTATTGAAAATTACTGGGAATTTTAAATTTTGACCTCCCCAATGCACCAACGATATTCACTTTCCAATCGAACAAGATATTGAAGTTGAAAGTCGAAGCATTATTTCGACTACTTATCGTGTACACATAAGTGTTTTATAATATACAATTTTAAAAAAACACCATCATATTTTAGATTCTGAGTGGAACGATGAAGGACTATATTTTTAACTATGCAGATTTATAACTTTATAAGTACAAAGTCATCTTAAAAATTGAAAATAGTTGGTTCTCATTTGATAAAAATAGTTTAACAAATCCAAACATTTGCCAAATTTCAAAAACAGTCTTGCAGCATACTCGTTCTTAGCCAATTTAACGCCTCATTGAAGAAAACTTTGACTGTTATTAATTATCCAATAGATATTAATTAGGGTACTAAGCCAGGGGTCCAAGCCCCCACCTTTCGTTCCTATGATTGTACTTCGTCCGAGAGTTGCTGACATTGACGACAGTCATTGCTATAGTGGAAGCGTGTTTAAATTATATAGGTAATATAAGTAATAACTAATAAGTTGGATATTTAAAGATATAAAAATGTAATATACATATTATTATATCAAATTACATTAAGAGGACGCCACACAGGCATTTGTTATCCCATCCTACAAACATAATGGCAAATGTTACGTTCATAATAACACATTTTACTCTGTAATTTCTAAAATTAGAGTGAATTTACCTATCAAATTTAAAGGTAAGAATATTATCTAGAACATATCGGAGGATTTTATTTATATTATTTTTTTTAAGGAAGTTATGATTATTTTAAAATGTACGAACAATTTAAAGTTTAAAAATGGTTATAACCTGCTTCTTGTCTTAAATAACAATCTTACCTTGACATTTTATTAGAAGTGAATTCACTCTCATTTAGAAATTACGGAGTAAAATAAAAAATTTAAAAAATCAAAATTAGTTACTTATAAATCATCAATTATATAAATTATAATTGTATAAATTATCAATTTTTTTATAATTTTTCCTACGCTAAGATAATCTAATGAGAACATTAAACATTGTACCATCTAGTCATCTAGACAAACTTTCCAATCAAGGGATATTTAAAACTATAAGAGTTCTCCATCCCTTAGTGAAAAAAAAAGTCATCAAGCTTTGAAGTGCACTTGTGCGAGTTGTACCTTTAGTACCAAACTAATATAGTATTGATTGAGTTTTTAAAATAAAATTGTTTTATAGGTATTATTATAGTAAGTAGTACTAATCTATACTAATATAATATAAAGCTGTAGAGTTTGTTTGTTTGAACGCGCTAATCTCAGGAACTACTGGTTCGAATTGAAAATTATTTTTTTGTTGGATAGTCCATTCATCGAGGAAGGCTATATAATATATAGCCTATATATAGGCTATATAATATCACGCTATGACCAATTAATAGAAGTGCTCAAACAGGGATTTTGAGATTTACGATGGAAATATTTGTTTATAAATGGTTGCTATTGGTTATAGGAGAAATAATTAATAGAAATAGTACACACTAGATCAGCTAGTAATAAATAAAATGCTTATACAACTCTTTAAAATTTAGTGTAAGTTTAAATCATTAAC